AGCAAGTCGCTGCGTCAACGCCCAGACAATCGACGGTTCAGAGTGCAAGGCCCTCTGAAGCAGTCAGGTCTTGCAGGAAGTACGAGGGCACCTACACGACCTACATGCACTACATAAGTGCCTTCGTGTTGGAGGGCCATAGTATGCGAGCCGTAAGATGTACGGCAGCCGAGGTATGGTTGAGATGACCATGGCCTCGCACCCTGAACCGTTAGCACCTGAAATCCGGAACCCCGTAAACCGAAGGCTACTTCTTGTTCAAACACTTGTACTTACTCCAAGCGACCCCCAAGACCCTAAACTAAACCCCAAACTACAAACCACAAGCTCTATAACCTCTATACCTCGAAATCCTAATTTAGCGCACCCTGAGCCCACCCCCCAAACCTGTGTACCCTGTAACTGTAACCCCTATAACCCCCCCCCCCCCCCCCCTCAAATCTTTCGCGCCAGTCGCCCTTGGCGAACCAGCTGGTCTCTTTCTCGGAGCCCGGGGCTTCCAGGGTAGTCAGGGCGTAGGGCTTCAAGATGATAGGAGTTTAGGGTTGTAGGTTTTACATTGGGGGTTTAGGTTTTAAAGTTCTTGGATGCCAGGTCTAGTGCTTTCGAGTTAGGTTTTAGTTTCTAAGTCTAGGGCCCTCGTGCCAAAACCGAAGCCCTTAAACTTCAGATATTTGTCGCCAGATTCCCATGGAAGACAATGCAGTGCAGCGCAAGGAGTCCCGATGGCTTTTAATTATTTATATATATATATATATCTTTTGCATATAAGTCAGTCGATACTGTATAGCTGCCCTTCCCAAGGTTTGTTTTGCTCATGTTTCCGTATCCGGCCAAGGTCCTGGGTCCGAGGAGGACCTCGGTAAGTGGAGCCACTTCCTGGGACCTGCGATCGGCTTGACAAAGCTCAGGCGGTGCAGGGAGGTGACAGGCTCTCAAGGCCTTCGTGGGAGCCGGTGGGAGGTCCTTCAGGTTGGATCCCGGCAGACTACAATTGCTATATATACGATTATACGGTTTATACTATAACATACTATTAATTACTATACTATTACTAAACTATTTCTATACTATTGCTATACTATTACATACTATAACTCTACTATTACTATATACTATACCATACTATACTATACTGCTAAAAGAGCTCACCGCCGATGCATCTTGTGACAGTGAAACTCCCCTGGCCCGAGCAGAGAATGTTCAAAGAACGTGAAGGCGATGCTGAGGCCCAGAATCCTTGTCAAAACCCTAAGCCCTAAACCCCGTAACCTAGTGGCCTTAAGAATTACAACAGGGTTTGGGGCCCACTACACTATTATTATAAGAAGGAATCCCCAAAATTGTAAAGGTATTAAGGCCCCTATATAGTAGCCTTAAGCCCTGCAAAGGGCTTGTCAACCCATACCGGCACACGGCACATGGGATCCACCCTGTTGCCTCCTGGCAAGTTGTGGTTTTTGTGCTTCGGAGTGGCTCCCTGTCAGAAGAGTCGACCAAGAGCACCCCTAGACAAGCCGAAAGCCCAATAATCTCTGGCAGACACCTGACACTGCTAGAGACCAGTGATGCTGCGCACCTGAGATCGCCCAGACACGGTATGCGTCGCAGGACTAGGGGGAAAAACCTTGCAAGCGAAGCGTAGAAGGGAATCCACAATAAGTCGAAAGGTGAGATGAGATATGACGAGATCTCATCCATTTGGTCCCTGGTCCTCAGACAACATGAAATCAGAATCCTAGACCGCCCTTGGCTGACCGAGCCTGTCTCGCCTGCGATGCCTTGTCCCTCGCATTGCAGTGGCATCCTGGCGTAACATTACAAGACAGAAGAGAAGTCTAGGCCCATCCGGAACTCAACATGCGCTGCACCCCTGTCTTACCCATGTCCTCTGAGCAACGGAAACTTCAACGCATTGTGGCAGCACGTCAGCACCCTAACACCTCCACCACAAATCACGATGCTAACGGCCCTAGCTTTAGTTTTTGGGTCCGATCTTCAAGGATCCGTTGGGCATCGCGGGGAGCGAAATTTTTAGCAGGGGGGAGTAGATCATGCCATGAGTCAGGGGAACTGAGCCGCAGGCCTTGAGTATGAAGCCCGAAACCTTGGACCTTGAAACCAAGGACCCATAAGCTTTTCATGAGCTTCCTGGTACCCTGGACCGATCCGTTGCTTTTGCTGCGTTAGCCCTCTTTCGTGTCTCTACTTGTCATTGCTCAACCTTGAAAGCTCTAAGCTGCTTAATCGTATATTGATACTCCTGCAAAACTCCTGGCTCCCGGGCTTCGTCGTAGACTGCGCTCGGACTCGTCCAGTGCCGTTGCCCAGCAGCCAAAAGCCGACGCTCGGCCCTTGCACGCTGATGGAAGCTTGAGGGCATGTCTCTGCAGATCGGTAAGAATGTCGGGAACACTGCTGTCAGTTGCCATGGCGGATTGTTTTTTTGCTCAGCTTGCGCCTGTTTGAATCGGCAGCAGTGCAATCTAACGATGCGGGCGGTGTACTTGTGCAATAGAATTTAGTTACTGAATCGAGATCGTCATGATTTGTCGTCGGAACTCGCTCTAGAGACAGGGGCACACCTTCAAGTTGTGACACGGTTTGTTCTATCTGAACTCACACTACATCGAGGTGCCAGTGCTAGCATGAGCGAGCGAGATAGAGGCACCGCTGAAAAACTGCACGTCTTGCCAACAAAGCAAGCAAACACCCAACCTCAGGGTTTTTTTCTGTCCAACGATGGGGCGGCGCAAGCAGCACAAGCTGGAGAAGGCCTTGTTGTAGTAGCACTTTCGAAAGCTAACATATTGCACGGGCCTACTATCTTGGGATTCCTGAGTGTAGTCATAGTTAGAGTATAAAAGACCCCAAAGCCCACTTCACACTATTCAGGAACGTATAATACTGTAGCATGCTTGGAGGGTCGGGGGACTTAGTAACTGGTTCTTTTAGGGACTTATAAGTACCATAACCCCAATTAGGGTCTCTTTTAGGGTACTTATAAGTCTACTTACTACCTACTTACTAAGTCCCCCGACCCTCCAAGTGATTGGTAGCCTGCTATCATGACAGGACCGCGCCGCCTGCATCCACTTCAATGCTGCACCGCCCTTGGCCTTGAGGGTTTCCTGAAATTGTAGCATTATTCTCTAGGGTCCCCTGTCATCGTTGCACCATAAAGGAGCCCAGAGTCCTTTTCGAATTATTCAGGCCCCTACATCATCGAATGAGACTTCGATATCTGCTGAGTGTCTCAGGGTTTTTGTGTCACACGGCTCCTGCAGTTGAAGGCTCGTACTTCGCCTTTATAGTTGTCTTTGCCGCTACGACGATTGTGCTAGCTAGGGTGGACAAGCTGATTGTTGGGATTCTGACCGTGATCATGGTGATGGTGATGCTCTGCAGGTGCTGATTCTGATGACGATGGTCATGACTGGTTTCATCACTCTCGTCGTCTTGGCCACTGCTTCTAGCGATGGATTGGAGATCGTTGGCTGTCGCTTGGTGTTTGGTTTGCCTTTGGTGTTGCTCAGATGCGGGCGGCCCGTGAGGCGGCCCAGCTCGATGCTGCCCTCTGCTTGGATTCTCTTCGGTGGAAGTTGTCTGCCTTTGGCTGAAGCGAGACGAGCTTGAAGGTCATGGCCGGCATGCTGGAGGCAGGTCTGAGCTCGAGGTGCTCCCCGCAAGACTACTTGCAAGCAGAGCGCAACGTCGCCCTGCTTTGCGAAGCCCCGGCAGGTGCAGCAACCCCGTGGACCTCGAGGGAGCCTCCGATGCTTCACCTGTGGGGGGCCCTGCGATGGCTGTATGCGAGAAGCTTCGGATTCGTCAGAATCCTCTGCGTGGACTCAGGGCCCATTCTGAGAATGCAGAACTGTGTCGGAACATTGAAGACGGTTTGTGCTATTGACACAGGCTGCCAGTCCAGGCTCCGAAGGGCCACAGGCAGGTCTCGGCGCTGACTGCTGCGGAAGTTTGCGCATGTCTGTTGCGGTCTGGACGAGGCACCTGCGGCGCAGCCGCAGCAGCCAAAGCCCATGCCTTTGTGTGATGTCCCTGAAACCTCCGGACTTTTCTCTCGATTTGGCTGCTGTTCTTGTTCTTGTTTGCGTTAAGCCATGTAAAGCATAGTGGCCCTTTTCTAAGCAAGAGTGGCGGACTGACTGTCGAGCAGCATGCGACAGCTGAGGCCAGAAGTGGTGGCAACGCACGAGTCGCAGAAAGACGAGAGCGGCAGGCCTTGTGGATGCAAGCGTGATCTCCTGGCCGCACCATCTGCAGATGAGACCTGTCACAACGAGGTTGCAAGCGGATGATGATGCCAGTGAGCTGAACGCTGTGGAGTGCTTGGAGCTCTGATCTCAGACGTTTATCCAGACTGCATAGGTAAATATTCTAAGGCTCCGAGCCTCATGCTAGTCTTCAGCTTGAAGCTGTCGAATTCGATCATTAGGATGTCGCTGTTTGGGACTCTTGCCATGTGGCATTGTTGAGCTTTCGAGCAGTCCAGGCATCCCCACTTCGCAAGCTCGCTACTGGAGGCGATTGGGCCAGTTGCAGCGCCAGAGCAACTTCGCAACTTCTGCACGCATGTGTCCTTACAGGCATCACGCGATTCGATGGATGCCAGCAACTTGTTGCAGGCTTGCACTCATGCTACAGGGCCATTCAGTTTTCTGTAGGCGTTGTGTCTTGACTTGTCGAGGATCTGGCGTTGCAGGATCCAGACTCTGCAGAAGATGATCACTTCCCGAGCTCGCTTCTGGAGGCGATGCAACAGAAGTGGGTACACTTCATGCGGTCATGCGAGCAGACGGGTCATGCCTGCGTCTAGAATCAAGCTATTTGTCATGTTCACTGCGCTGTCGATCGATGCTGTCACGCCATTTTGAATCACATAACAAAAGCTGATGGAGCATCCCGCCAAGTTGCAGTGCAAGGATGAGGCGTCTGCAGCACTGGTGCAGCCATTGGTGGGAGATGCTCTTGGGGACGCCATGGCATCTCGATTGATGACTCCACAACCGGAGGCAACAGATCCATGCATTGCTCCCCTGAAGTCCCCCAGATCTTTGCGTCTTCTTTGGCCCCTGAGGAGTCTGAGGGCTTGGAGGCCTCGCCGTTTGCCTCGGCCTTCAATGCATCTCGGGACGGGCTGAAGTTTGGGGGATGTTTGTTGTGTTCTGGGTTGCCTCCTTTGCTTTACTCTGCGAGGACACTGCTTGGACACCCGACGACCTCGTTGCGAACGTGACCGAGGATGTCGTAGAGATCGATGGCCCGTGCCAAAGACAGCCCTCGGCTGTGAGATGAAAAGTCAGGATGATCACGCCCTCTGCAAGGAAAGCCAGATTCCATGCAAGATGCTGCCAGCTCCCAAACCTCGACGGAGGACACTGCGTCGTCGCGTCGCGGGTGGAAGAGCGAGTGTCAAGTAGAGGAAACGCTTTTGGCTGTCATCTCTCTCTCTCTCTCTCTCTCTCTTTCTCTCTCTGTGGGTGTATCTGTGTGCGATGGGGAGAGCTCGACTCTGCTGCCGAAAAGCCTCCTCGTCTTCGTACATATAGATATAGAAAATTGTTTTCAACCGGAAGCCCTGACGACTTGCACCACGGTCAGGCGTTGCCGGCGTTGCTGGGCAAGGCCATGGACTGAGACGAGTGCACTCGGGTTCAGAGGTGTAGGCATCGGGGCTTGGCCACGAGGTTCGAGTAGTTGGGTCCGTTGCATGTTGTTTGCAGTGTTGTGGAGTGCAGCGTTGCAGTGCTTCGGAAAGGTGCAGTTCTCGGTCCAACACGAGTAAAATCGCCAGCTGTTTCGAATGTTTCGTCTGCAACGCCTACCTGGCCTACCTCCTCAGCAGCAGCGCACGTCAGCTCCCGCCTAATTTCGTAAAGTTCTAACACAGTTCCACGACGTTGTTTTGGGGTTCTTGTAGGTTTGTGTCTTTGTGTCTTTGCGTATGTGTGTGTGTGTGCGTGCGTGCGCGTGCGCGTGTGTGCGTGTGTGCGTGTGTGCGTGTGTGCGTGTGTGCGTGTGTTTGTGTGTTTGTGTGTTTGTGTGTGTGTGTGTTTGGCGTGGCTTCTGCATGCTTTTCACTCCTAACACGTTTCGATGATGTGGAGGCCGACAACAAGCAGCACAAAGATGCCACATCTATGTTGCAAAAGCAGCGGCAGCAGGCGAGGATTGTTTCTTCGGCAACAGCAAGGTTCCAAACAAGACTGCATGTGCCTATGCTTTTGCTGCTGTTCCCGGGCAGGAGCACCGTGGGTGGTCCCCCTCTCAGAATTTTCTACGACTAGATTACCTGTTGGTGGAAGGGTTGCAGGACATGGGGATGTCGTGAGCACGTCCGTGGTTTGAGACCACCGGACTCACGTCTGTGCGCCCCGAACCCTTGCACTGGAGACTCCTGGCGCCGGCATCCTAAACTACGATGAAGAATTACACACCCTTATTATGACATGAGGTGGCAGCAACTGCTGCAGCTCACGTGCTGCGCTCGTCCGGAACTCAGCTCGGGTGCAATGCCAAGCTTCCGAACGGTCGGCTTAGGGGTTTACGGCTTTGATAGGCTCCACTCCCGACGGAATCCACCTGTCCAGTCCCTGTCAAGAACTCTGAAGCTCGATTCTCCGAAGGAAGTTAATGGGTGTCTTGCTGGTAGAGACCTCAAATAGGATTCCTCATTTTATGCGGGTTCTTATCAAGTGGAGATCCCAAGAGTTTGGGCTTACAGGGCTCTGTTTGGATAAGCTGTATACTTTATTCGTTGCGGAATGTCCTTCCACCTTCTCTAACACTGAAGGTGCCAGCCTTCTTGCTGAGCTATTCCGGAATTGCAATGAATGAGGGACCCCTGTAGGTCTTCAGTAATCAGGTATAGATGCGTTAGGCTACGGTTTAGAAAGGCAAAGCATTCAGAGATTTCCAGGAGTAAACCTACTCTCATGCTTGCCCTCCCAGTGCTCTGGAGCTATCAGGTGGTGAGCTCTTGTCAATAAAACCCAAAAGGACATGGCTTGTTGACAGGGGGAGCCTCATAGAGCGACAACATGATCCCGATGTAGGAATGCTTGTATAGCTCAGAACTAACAGCTGGAAAGCGGGTCGGCGAACCCAGGCATTTGAGCTTGCAAAGCCCGGAGCCTGGTCACCCAGTTTTGAGTGGCTTTGGTCAGATCTTCTTGAGTGGCTCTGCGTCGGGGCTGCTTGACATCTGTGTCTTGGGCTGTTCGAAGCAGGACACCAGTGCATGCAGGAATTCAGTTCAGGGCCTTGCATGACGGAAAGCGCCAGTTGGCGGGGCGTTAGCCTTCAAAAAGGGGGATGGAGTGGCAAGAGGGGGGGTGGACAAACCCACCGGGCTTTGCGAGTTGCGTCTGTTGGGAGTGTATGACTGCGGTATTTACGGTGTGCCTGCCAGCAGCGAAAAGCCGTCTCTGCGGAGAGCTGCTCGACGGACTTCACCGGGCTCGTGACCCGGGGTGACCCGTGGCAGGCAGCTGATGCTCACGATGCCCGCCTTGGGTGAGCTAAGCACGAGGGTTCAGGACGACAATCAGATGAACGTGAGCGGCGTGTCGGGCGATACAGCACAGAAAAGCACACAATGGTTTTGTAATTCGATCATGGTAGGAGATGTCAAAAGCTTCATCTGCTTGAAATAATACAGTGACATGAATCCCATGGCTGCCGCAGTACGAAAGGGAATGGCCAAGCCAATAATATCATAGGGAGATCATGTGCATCGTTTTACGCCACGGTTTTTTGCAGAACACAGATACAGGTAACTTACATCCGAAGCCGCGAAGCAAGGAAGCCGAGCAGCCAGGAGCTCAAAAACATTCAAAAAGCAAACGCCGAAGCCACGAGGACGTGGGGTCACGACGAATGTTGTGTTCGGTAGCTGGAAGTGTCTGCGGATGCACCCTCGAGTTTGAAACCTCAGCAGCAAAGGCAGAGCCTAAAACAGAGGCTTCTGCTATCGGCTCTTGAATGGGAGCAGCCGTGCTGCATGCCAGCTTCACCTGTGGTAAACCGACATCTTGCACCAAACGGAAAAGATCGAGGACCTGGAGCGAAGCTTTCAAGAAAGCTCTCCCTCAAAAGCATATCTGTATTCCTTGCACCAGTTCCAAGGTCTGGTGATCCACTCTTTAAGAACTTTCAGTGTCACTCAAGCCACGCGGTTCAATTTCATCAGGACGAATAGTGTTAAGGCCAGAATTCTGCATCCAAGCCTTGCTTCCCTAATTTGCACTTAAACCCCTTGCCTTTCCGCCAAGACATGAAATCGGGCCAGCACGGATGCGTGAGTGGCAAACTCGGGGGGTGTGGCAAGCCCTAAAACCTTAGAGTGGCGCACGGTGAAGCTGACTTTCGCACCTGGAGTCACACACCTTCAACAGTTCTTTCAACTCCCCAACCTCGAAGAACAATCAAAAATACCACGAGACAGGAAAAGAGCCAACCATAGCAATCCCTGAACTCCAAACCCACGAAGTGATAGGGTTTGGCAAACCCAGACTTTGATAAGAAGCTGTCCGCGTGAACTCCAAGCGTGGCGGAGCTCAGAATGATGGCAAAATTGAGTTGGAAGATGAAAGGGATGCCATGCTGACTGACACCAAATACTTCTCAACCATTTTGAAGGCTCCTATGCCCATGCTTCAAGCCGGCAAACGTAACCTAAGGGGGGCGGGAGTAGCAACGGCCGCCGAACACGTGCACCTACGACCCCAACATAAGACACAGTAGTTCGTCCGACCACAGTTGCCCAACCCAGCAGTCGCAGCAACTTCGGTTTCTCACAATGATTATTCGCAAGGTTTCTGGCGATGATATCCAGGCATATTTGGGTTTAACAGTTTCTTCCTTCTCGGCTTCTCGGCGAACGCAAACATATGCTTGAATATGTTTGAGGAATGCACCGCAGGACGTCAACAGATATCGCAGCAGTTTAAAACCGCGCCTTCCTCCCCCCCAGCCACACACTTGCTGTACATGGTGGTGGCAGCAACATCGTTTGTCCCCGTATGTGAAAAGGTGCCCCCTTCTCCTAAGACATTCAGCAATTTCCCTCCCCCGTCGGTTTCCCAGCGAAGGCAAACAGAATCTGACTGGGTGGGTGGGTAGCATAACGACCGCTTAGCATGTGAAGCCAAACAAGCAAACGAAAAAACAAACAAACAAAAGAAACAACAGTCGTTCAGCAGCGCACAACAGTCATTCAGACAAAGGTTCCCGAACTCGGGTTGTGGTGGTTTTCTCGACGTCCAACCCAGCAAGAGGCTTGGTGCGACTTCAAATTTAAATTAAAGGCAAAGTTGGGTTGGTGTTCGGTGTACGTTCACCTCCAAGCTGGAAAGACAATGAAGCAGCATCCGATTGTTAACGCTGTTAAACGAGGCGCTTATTCATCAGGTTCTACAGCACGGTTTTGGGGTTTAGGCAAGCCTTAGGATGCCTTAGGTCTATTGGCTCTGCGGTCCAAAACACGCATCCCGTATTTAGGCGCCGCTGCCAATGCGTTTAGTGAGCCCTGCCTTCGGCCCATGTTTCACACCCGTGACATCGCTTGCCTTCGAAAAACTGAGTCGCTGCGGACATTTTTGCTGTGTCTCTTCACCTCATCGGTCTGAATGCCAGTACGGCTTCAGCTTAATTACGAGGACAAGGTGCATCGAGGCCATGATCTCAAGCTACGTCCTCCCGCAGCATTTGCCCAAAAGGCAGTGTCTGAGTCTTACAATCCCATACAGCCCATACAGCTTCCTCATGCCATACGTTTGGAACCAGTGCAGTGTTGTCACAATCACAAGGCCGCAAAACCTAAGACCAGTTTCTGCACCCTGCGGTGGTCCAAACCTTACACCCGAATCTGCTCGATTTAAGCATTTCTGGCCATCGCGAGCATTTAAAGCTCCTGCCATGCCTGTGATCAGGACCGAGTTATTTCATGTTTGTCCGCACCTAGCACTCGCACCCCGTTTACTCCCGAGACCGGAAAGTTGCGGCACCCAATCACGGCTTGAAGCAGTAGTACAACCCTAGGAAGCATCAGCTCCTAAACTCCTTGACCAAGATCCCGAAGTCACAAATCCGGAGTTCGGAGAAAGACGGGTCTGAGTTTCTACACAGCATCGACGGAATTGATGCCTTAGGCCTCTTTACAGCGCCCCAATACGCAATCTGTCCCTTCGTCTTCTGCCCTCATAGGTCCGACCCCCATCCCAACACGAGCTCCTTCCGATGCACGACGCCGATTCAATCTGAAGTTACCTATAGGGGATCCCGTGCCCTCCCTC